TTCTCTCTCTTCCCATCTCTCTCTCCCCCTCTCTCCCTTTCTCTCTCTCCCTCTTCCCCTCTCTCTCTCTCGCCCCCTTTCTCTCTCTCTCCTCCCCCTCTCTCCCTCCCCCCTCCCTCTCTCTCCCTTCCCCTCTCTCTCTCGTTCTCTCCTCCTCTCCTTCCTCTGCCTCTGTCACCCTTTTAGAACAATGGAAGAGGTGCCACACCGCTTCAGACTAGCTGTCCACCCAGCAGTGTCCACGTCTCTTACTGTCGAGAAGTGGCTCAGGGTCGCGTTTCAGACACGCGTGCTGTCCTGCACGTCTGCGGTCCTGTAGATTGCCAGTCTGCCTGGCACCGTGTAGGCCTCTCCCCGGGGAAGCTGAGACCGTTATGAAGTGAAGCAGATTCACTCACATTACTCCTAAGACAGTTATTGGCACTTACGTTTTTCTTTTTAAAATTTTTACTAGAAGGTGCGTACACTTGCTGGAGGGAGACAGAGCAAGAGAAGGAAAGGGAGAAAGCATCCCTAAGGGGGACGGCCACGCCATAATCCCCTGTCACCCATTGCTGCTTTGGGATTCTAGGCACACATGCCTGGTGTGTCTTTCAAGCCACCAGTGCAGGATTTGAGCTGCATGATTGGCCGCGTGGCCATGAGTACTTACGTTTTAATTCTCAAGACCTCAGTACTGACATGACAGAATTTTATAAGAGCCTTTATGCGTAGGGGCTGGCAGGTGGCGCAGTGTTTAAGGTGCTGGATTCCCATATGGCTGACCACAGTTCAAGTCCCAGACCTGGCAGCTTGCTTTCTCACTTTCTCTTTCTCTCTGTCTTTCTCTGGTCAAATTAAAATAATAATAATAATAACAACAAATTTAAAAAAGAGAGCCTTTATGCATCAGCTCTGTAAGGTCATAGGAAGATAAAGGAGTTTGACAGGACTGCGGATTTGAAGAGCAGTCACCAGCAGTGGACGTTCAGAGAGCGCCAGACGTGTCAGGAGATGAAACAGTTCGCGGTCCCTTTTGCCAGAGAGGAGGCAGGCCTGGTTCTCATGGTGTTTGCCTCCACAGGAGAGAAGTACGAACTTCACGCTGGAACCGAGTCGACCCCTAGCGTGGTGGTTCATGTCTGCGAAAGTGACACAGAAGAGGAGGAAACCAAACACCCCAAGCAGAAGATCACGCAGACACGGCGTCCCGAGCACCCGGCTGCAGCGCTGGACGAGCCCCGGCCCTTCGACTGTGCGCTGTGAGGCCCGCCGTGGGGTGGCAGCTGCCCGGTGGGCTTCGGTCCTGCCCCGGTGCCCTCCAGCCAGGCACCGCTGCTGGTGGTACAGAGGAGACAGAGGGAGCCGGGCCGCGTCCCACCTGGACTGCGGGCGTGGTAGCATAGAGTAGCAGCTGGTTTTCACCTCCCCAACATTCCAAGGGACATTTTAATGGCACTTTATATTACAGGGTCAGCCTCCGAGCCATGGCCACCCTTGACCATTTTTAGACAGTGGCAAATTAGGAAAAAGGTGTCCTGGTCCCCAGCTTTGTTAGTTCCCAGCTCCGTCTAACATGGCGTCCCGGAAACTGGACCTAGTCACCCAGTGTGGTACTGTTTTTGAGGTTAAAAACAGTCAGAATTTTAATCATGGAGTGTGGCTCTTTTTGTACTGGTCCAATGGCCTCTCCCTAGTGCCCTGATCAGAGGGTAGTTTTACTCAGTATGTCTGAACTTCCGTGCACAGAAAGAAGCCGGGTGCACAGAACAGTTGGTGGACATCACCTTCCCTCCGTGTTCTTCTCCGTTCATTGTGGAGGAGAAATGCCAGACCCCTCCGTCAGAATTAGCCAGCACAGACGCGTGACTCTGACCTGGAGGTCGGGGAGGCGGGACCTTCTCCCCACGGGTGAGCTGCCCGGGCACGTCTGCCACTCCGGGAATGAGGGGTCCCCAGGAAGCCTGACGGGGCCTGCCTTCAGCCTGGAGCGCACCGTGCAGTCTTCACCCCGTGCCTGTCCCTGCAGCGGCCCGGCTCGCCGAGTCCCTGGGCTGTGCGGGCTTCGGTGTGTCGTTCACAGCTTTGAATCAACAGGCAGGAGGGTTTCCGAAGACCCTTTTTAAGTTGCCCACGCAAACACCAAACACGATCGATTGGCTTGCTTTGGGAGGAGGCCCACCTGCTGTTTTCCTGTGAGCCAGGGGAGGAGGAGAAGGTCCCTGGTGCTTTCCTTTGTGATAACAGTTTTTGCCCTGGCTTCCTGCTGGCCTTCCCCCCGTTTCTCACTTGAACCTCCTAAAGGGGAAGCAGCAACTTTTAGCTCTCTGGCCTATTCAGACCCTGAAGTTGCGTTTTCAGGAAAGTCGCCTAGTTAAAGTGCTCTGCTTTTGCTCAGGGGGTCCCTCCCCCCGCCCCAGTGGCCGCTGTCTGAGCGCCCTGGGTGGTGTCAGGGTCCCTACTGCAGTAGAACGCACTGCCGAGGGCTTCAATTTTTGTGCAGAGCAAAAACGTTTCCTGTTGTCTTCCTCACTCCAATACGCCGAGGTAAACGCTGCCCTCTGGATGTGCCGCGGCCAGGCCTCCGCGGGTGAAGTTCGCAGTTCCGTGAGCAATCCCTTCGTCATTCACCTCCTCTGTCGGTTTGAATGGCAGCCGTTCGCTCAGTTCACTCTGCGGGTCCCAGCGCAGCATTTTACCCGCTTGTCCTTCCAGGTTGGACCTTTCGCGGCAGGAAGTGCGTCTGTTTTCAACAGCGGGAAATATTTAAGATTTCCTGATTGGTATTATTTATTTATTATCACTTCCTAAGGGATTAGAACGCACGATGTTTTGCTACATAGCTTGTGTTCATGCTTGACCTGCCAATTAAAGAATACCCTGTCTCTAATATGTAAAACTCATTTAAGTCAAGTAAGTACGAATTACCCACTATTATCCTTTCTCTTTTTTTTTTTTGAGTACTGAATTAACCGAAGGCAACTTTGAGCCAAAATATGAACGAGACAAAGTCATTTAAACTTTTCTGAATGGAAAGTGTTATTTTTATTCTTTCCAATATATTGTCTCCATCAGATGAATTCTAATAGAAAAATGACTGAATGCTCAGCAGTTTCTTCATATTGCGAAGTCAAGCCGGTTCTGTTCTTTTTAAAGCTATTTTGTATCCAGTTCATGTAACTGTTTTGCAAGAAGTCAGACTTGGGAATCTTTAAGTTATTTTAATAAATTTATCTGCATTGTTTCTTCTTTGAAATTGAGTTTATTACTTAGATTTAACTCTGATAATTCAGTAGCCGTGTTTTCTTAAGTCATAACCTCTTCATGGGAATCAAATTATCTAGAAACCGAGGAAAGCATAATGGTGCTTTGTGTTAGGAGAAAACATTTGCAAGGGATAAAGAAACTATTATACTTAATAGTCCACCCAAACACAATGCTTTGGCTCTTACATTCTGAATTGTCCAGCATACCACCTGATGAAACTGGAGATAAAGCCATTTAAGAAGCAAATTAGTGGAGCCAGCAGGTGGCATAGTAGTTAAGATGCTTGGATTCCCACCTGGCTGACTGCGGTTTGAGTCCCAGGCAGGGTGGCTTGAAAATCATGCACGTGTGTGCCCGAACTCCTGAGAGGAGAGTGGAGGAGGAGAGACTGTGGCGTGGCCATCACCTCCCCCCGGGGTGATTTCTTACTTTCCCCTCTCTCTCTGTCCAGCAACCACATGCACCCTATGGCAAAAACCTTAAAAAAAAGGGGGAGGGAGAGAATTAGTGGCCAGCTACTAGGTTTTAATAAGAACCGTTGTCCTGGAGGATTGAAAACCAGGTAGAAAGCACTCTGGTCTTTTCACATTGTGCTTCAAAACTCTCCACACAGAGATCCATTAATAAATGAAAGCCAAATCAGGCTACAAGGAACTTCCAAGTTCAACATACAGGTTCGAGTAGACCCTCGTAGTCTTTTAAGGGAGGTTTGAATTGAAGAGCTGCCGGGAAGGAGATGGAGGTCGGGTGCGACTCTGCTCTTTAAGAACGCATCTCGCGTGCTCCCCCTTCACGGTATGTCCCTTTAGAATGGCGTGAGTGTAAAGGGAAAAGGGTGGGTTTCCCTGGAACCTCAATTACAGAGAGCCGTGTGGTCTGCAGTCATCCTGTTCTAGTAGAAGGCGGAGGTCAGGAGTCTTGCTTAGGAGCCCACAGTGAGGCAGCCCAGGAACCAGAACTGACTTCCCAAGCCCGGGCCAGAGGTTTTGTACTGTAAAAATAAAATTAAACTGTGTTTGTTTTGTTTTTGTAAAAATAAATGTTTAACTTTTGTCTTTTTTGCTCTTGTACTAAAGTGATGCCGCCCTCTTAATAAACTGCTAAAGTTATAAAAGCCCGGGGCAATTTACTAGCTCCCTGTAGGAAGCCCGGAGCCATTTACAAGTTAACTTAGCACCTTGCAGGAAGCCCGGATCCTTTTAAAACTCCCCCCCGCCCCGCCCCACTAACCCCGAAAACCCAGATCAGATGTCTCTGCAAATCAGACCTAGTTACAACATCTATAAAAAAAAAAACCGCAACATCTGTAAAGAGAAACATTTTTGTCCTGCTCGAGCAAGCAGCTTCAGGGTCGCCATAAAATTACCCTGAAAGCCCCTTATCTTACTTCCTCATTCTTTCCTCCCCTCACCCCTCGGACTTGTCTCTATATAACCTAAATGCCCCTTTGTTCGGGGCTTCACTCGTTACCATGTCTTGCATGACCAAAAATAAAGTCCTAGCGCGCTAACAATAAAGCCTCTTATATTTTACATCAAAAATCGACTTTGTGGTTGATTGGGGTCGTTGTAACACTCCCTGGACAAGGAGGATCAGCCGGTTGCCAGCTGAAACCTTTCATTTGGGGGCTCGTCCGGGATCTCACGGCCACCCCACTCCTACAACAAGTAGACCTTAAAAGTAAGCCTTTGTCTGTCTACTATCCTTTTATCTGTCTTCTTGTAAAAGTCTGTATCAGGTATCGCAGCTGTTTGGACTATTGTAAAATAGCCGGACTGTGGTCGGCAGACATGCCCAGAGGACCACAGGCTGCAGCCCTGGGGTATGCCCCAAGGGCGAGGGAGGATCAGGGACGCCTGATCGTCTCCTGCGGTAAGGGCGCAGAGTCCTTCGCAGCCAACGCCCGTCTGAATCTGTTCTGAGATTGTGGAAGACCTAGTTCTGTAAGTTATTTTTTGTTTCTCTTGCCCTGTTCTTTGTTCTTTTGTCTGTGTTTTTAACCTATTCATTGACGATGGGACAGACTGTAGTGACTCCTCTGAATTTGACTCTTGTACATTAGACTGAAATAAAGGGAAGAGGTCACGACCTATGTATAGAGATTAGGAAGGGTCTCTGGCAGACTTTCTGTACATCCGAGTGGCCCACTTTCAATGTCCGATGGCCACCCGAGGGCACATTTAATCTCAAAACTGTTCTTGCCGTTAAAGACATTGTTTAAAAAAAAAAAAAAAGTCATCCAGATCAACAGCCGTACATCATCGTCTGACAAGACCTGATACAAAATCCTCCCACCTAAGTCCGGCCCTGGATTCCCAGACATCACCCTAATCACCCGATCCCCCCTCAGATTTTAATAGTCCCCTAATTCTGACTCTCCAAAAGGGGCAAACCAATCAAGCCGTTCCAAACAGATCTACCCAGAGACCCAAGATCTCCTCCTCTTAGACCTGCCTCCCTCTCCCCTATACCCCTCTCACTCTCACCCTCCCCCTCCAACTGGGAGAAAGCGCAGAAATCCTAGTGTCCTGCCTAACCCAGTCCCGCTCCTTCTGCACCCTCCAAAGGCGTTCTCCCAGGGCCGGCCCAAGGCACTAAGAGTCATCGCCGACAGGCTCTGCCGTTCCCCGACACCACTGTTGCCTTACCCCTACGAGCATACGGGCCCCCGCCGCCAGTTACCGAAAAAAAGGCTGCCTCCCTTGCAGCCACTCCAATATTGGTCTTTTTCCTCCTCTAATCTTTATAACTAAAAAACTAACCACCCTCCTTTCTCCGAAGACCCCCAGCGCCTGACCAGCCTGGTAGAGTCCTTAATGTTTTCTCATCAGCCGACGTAAAACAATTGCCAACAACTTCTACAGACTCTCTTCACTACAAAAAAAAGAGAGGATCCTACTAAAAAAAAAAAAAAAATATCCCGGGGAGGCTGACAAACGTCCCACTCAGCTCCCGAACCTCATCAAGGCTACTTTTCCTCTTTCCCAACCCCACTGGGACTACAATGAACCACTGAGCCCCCTTTGGTATTCCTTAAACGTCTCATAAAGACATTTAAACAATTCACCCCGTTTAACCCTGCCTCTAAAACACAAAGAGCCTCAGTGGCCATGACTTATTAAACAGTCAACACCTAATATTTAAAAAAACTTCAAAAACTTAAAAAATTACAAAATCTCTCATTACCTTTTCCTCCATCGGCCTCTTAGTCCCTAGCAAAAGAAAAAAGAGGCAGGAGTGGGGGGATTTTTTCCCGTTGCTGGAGCCCTGTGAGGAGGCCCAGGGTTCAGGGCCCTGGCTGCCAGGAGCACCCAGGCACACCTGCCCTGTGACTGGCTGGCTGAGAGGTTGGGGGGATAACAGCGTGGCAAGACCCTTTTCAGGGGTCCCTGTCTTTCACCTCCTTAATAAGTTAGCACACTTTTTAAAATAAATTTTAAAAACAAGAAAAATTACATCTGACAAAGGTGGTGGCTTAATTTCAGTTAATGAATTTAATGTTCCATGTTTTATTTTTTCCTACCGTTGACCAGGGGCATCAGAATCTGTTTAAATGGGGACTAGCAGTTGGCATAATAGCTATGTCGCTGGACTCCCACGTAGTCGACCGTGGTTCGCGTCCCAGACCCAGTGGCTTAAACTCACACCAGGCACGTGTGTGTGTGTGTGCCCAAGATCCTGAGAAGAGAACGGAGGAGAAGGGATTGCGGCGTGGCCATGCCCCCTGAAGAGTGATTTCTCGCTTTCTATATTTCTGTCTGTCTCTCTGTCTGGCGAGCGCATGCGCCCTATAGTAAAAACCTCTCCAAAAAAAAAAAAAAGAATCTGTTCAGATGCTGTTACCCTGGCTGGTGGCCAGCGTGTTTTGACATCTCATGTGGACTTTCCTAGATTTTCTCGTGAATGAACTGGACATGGAAACAGCCGCACGTGAGCTGTGGCCCCTGCAGCAGAGAGCTCGGTGTGGCTTGGAAGTAAAGCAGCTCGCGGCGGGGGGACACTCACCCCTGCTTATGCGGCCGACTGCAGGATGGAGCCTGCCCTGGCTTCTCTTTAGACCAGGGACTTACCATGGTAGGGAGGGTCCCACATGTAACTAAGCAGGGGAACACCCCAGAGGGTGGACTGCATCAGGTGACTGCCCAACAGCTCTCTCCTATCTCGACCATGGCGTGGCCTTGCGCCTGTCCCCCATTGAGTCTGGCCATCCCCCCTCGTCCCCTCCCTGTGCTCCTTTTGGGCACATGTGCGCGTACTCATGCCTGGCCTCCAGTGAGCGTGACCTACAGTTATTGTGGCCACATAAGCAGACGTGGCGGCATCGTTGCCTCCTAGCTGGGGAGGGTATGTCCATGTTAATTTTTTTTTTTTTAATTTTTGTCATAGGGCATGTGTGCTCATAAGAGAAAGAGAGAAAGGAAAAGTGAAAAGTCACCCTCCCTGTAGGATGGCCACAACGTGATCCCTTCTCTTGGGATTTTGGTCACACACGCACAGGTGCCTGGCATGTTTTTCAAGCTGCTGGGTCCAGGACTCGAACCGTGGAGTCAGCCATGTGAGATCCAGCTCCTTAACCACCATGCTACCTGCTGGCTTCAAGAAATTCACTTTTTTATCAGATGAAGTTATACAATAAGATATATGAACCTTATCCAAAAATGTGATACACTCCAGTATTTTGTTTTGTTTTTAAAGAATAATATATTTATTTTAAATTTCAACAGAGAGGGACAGAGTCAAGATGGCAGGGAGTGAGAAAGCAAGCCACCAGATCCGGGACTCGAACTGTGGTTGGCCATGTGGGAGTCCAGCACCCTTAAGAACCAGGTCACCTGCTGGTCCACTCCATTGTTTTTTTTGTTTGTTTGTTTGTTTGGAGAAGTTTTTCGCTATTGGGCGCATGCGCTCTCCAGACAGACAGAGACATAGAGACAGAAAGCGAGAAATCACCCCCCAGGGGGGATGGCCATGCCGCAATCCCTTCTCCTCCATTCTCCTCTCGGGATCTTGGGCACACACGCCCGGCGTGAGTTTTAGGCCACCGGGTCCGGGACGCAAACTGCGGTCAACTACATGGGAGTCCAGCGACATAGCCATTATGCTAACTGCTGGTTCCCGACTCCATTGTTTTTTAAAGCCCCTAGGAGCACAGGTCAGCTGGACCGTCTTCATCAGAGTGTCATTGTTGCCCTTCACCGTGAGTCAGGGTGACGTCCATAATCCGGGGGGCTTGTCATTATTACCAGGAATACTCGCAGCAGGCGGCCGAAAGCAGTAACAGTGACTGCTTGTTTCACTGACCGGAAAGACGATAAAAGTCATCGTGTTTAAAGAACAGTTTTGAGCCAAGCTTG